ACAACTTTAGTACGCGGAGTATCTGGGGAGCTGGAAGATGAGAACTGGCGGCTTTGTAGTACAACTTCAGTACGTGGAGCAAGCTGTGGAGCTGGAACCTCAGAACTGGCGATTTTGTAATACAACTTTAGTACGCGGATGAGTCATCTCTCGCGGCTGCGTCATCTCTCGCGGCTGCTCTGGCGCCCCTGCAGCTGAGTCATGTCTCCCGACCACCCGGCTCTCTTGAGAGGTTGACAAATTTTGGCTACTTTGCTTACTCATAAAAGTGGCTGCCACAAAAGAGTCATCGTGACGTTAGTATTTGTGTACTTCACCTTCATGACAAACGATGTTCGCTTGGAATACACGAGTCGCTTGCCATGATCGTGACGTCGTTTATACTCTCAGGTCGCCCTGTTCGTGGAAACTTCAGTGTGAAATGTACGTTCTTCAGTTCTATTTGAACCTCTTCAGCGTTGTACTTGCACAACTAAGGTTGACGTTGCGCTGCCGTTGCATCGACGCATCTACGTCTAAGCACGCTCACCTCCGCAGATCTACCTCTCCACCTCACCACACCCACACATCTGCGCATCTATATATCACATCTGTACATCCACACTGTCGCTCCTTCACATCTGTCCTGTCTTTCTTTCTTGCTTTCTACATATCTTTTCTCTCGTCTCTGTGCATTTACATCTTCGCACGCTCACATCGACAGATCTACATCTCCACCTCAATACATCTACAGATCTATATCGCGCCTGCACATCCACACTGTCACTCCTTCACATCCACCCTCTCTTTCTCTCTTTATATACATCTTTTCGACAGTGCTGGACAATTGCATGTCTCGCTCTCGGGCCAACCGTTCTCTAGTTTTTTTTTGTTTTTTAAATATATTGTCAGCGGGCCACAACTTAGTAGAATCTCAAGCCGCTGACAGAGCAACTGTCACCGCCAATGGAACTTGAAGCAGCCACACAGAACAATTGACAAAGGGAGGACCAGGCAACCAAAGACCAGCGAACCAAGTGACCAACTGACCAGGCGAGCAAGGGACCAAGGCACCAGGATCTTGTTTATGAAACGAATCTATTTCTCTCTATTTTCTTTGCATGATAGGATTAATAAGGATTAATCAATTTTTCTTTTGATGCGAATCAACTGATCAACTCTTTATTGATACCTAGCCCAATCTTTGCACCCCCACAATTCCGATTTGGAAGGCAGCTGACTCTTGCTCACCCTTTCGGCTCTAGATTTTCGATGCAGTAGCTGGCTCGCTTTCAACAAACCTGTGGACGTTGTTGGACAATAATGGCAACTTCAGCATAGCCTTCTCAACTTAGCTTAGCGCCGCCACACAGGAATGCCGAGACTGTACTTTCCTCTTCTTCACACTGGGGTTCTTAGCTTAGCCCTTTTCTTCGCACTGGGGTTCTTAGCTTAGCCCCTTGCTATGAGCAATGCACAAGCCACACAGGAATGCCGAAAAAAAATGTTAACCTGTTCTTCATACTGGGGTTCTCAGCCTAGCCCCTTAAGCTAGCCCCTTAAGCTTGCTATGAGCAATGAAGAAATTCTGCATAGTTGGAAGATCCACTCATGAGGAAAAAATGACATGAAATGACAACTCTATTCGGTTTGGTGGAGCGGCTGGGCAATCTCCGCAACATGGATAGGACTCTTGTCGACAACCACCTGTCTTTATATTCATCTTAAAGTAAGACATAACATGACCAGTTTAAACAAACATGACCAGTTTCCTATTGCTTTTTGGATTTTCAATGATTTTACGATATTACATTATCTAGTCCAGGATGACTCTAGTTGGAAGGAGTGCGATGCGAACTGGGATGCGTACGAAGAACAGGCTGGGTGAGTTTCACAGGCAGCTCCTGAGTTAGTCTTGCCATGTCACTATGCCTAACTATGCGTTTGTTCTGCCGTGAGGAAAAGATCCAAACATCAGTGGATCCCAATCACCGCCAAAGGATCCCAGCTTCACCGCCAGCCGCTTCATAAAGCTTCTTCAAAGCGATGCTTTTCTTTGGAAACCACTGGCCCATCAGGGCCCACAGTCACAGCCGTGTCTCCCTCGACGTGCCCGCTCCACGACCCATCCACGCGACCCGCGGCGCTCCGACCGGCGGAGATTGGAGTAAGGGCTGAAGGACGCCTGGCACGGAAAGACGGGTCGGTCATGGAAGCGGCCTGGAATGCTGGCCTATGTTCCTCTACGAACAGTGGGTTGTACCGGGGTTGTGCGCTTCTATGATTGTTTCGGGGAGGGTGTATCCCATGACTAGGGCTCAGTGGATGATGGGCTACTTCGTCAACGAAAGCACCAGTCATTCCAGTCAATGAAAGCACCAGTGTGGGCTCCTGTCCAAGACTTCAGAGACCCTTGCAGGGTCGAAGAGAACATCACATTTCTTATAGCCTGGCCTGGCCTTTCGAATGAATTCGATATCAACATGTGCCAACTCGGCTTGCCAACGCAGTAATTATAATCTATAAATGCCTGGATCTTCCAACTGTCCAGAATTTCTGCCTTTTCATCTAGCAAATCAACCAATGTTCGGCCAACATTCTTATAGTTAGAAGATAGTTGGAAGACCCAAGCTGATCCAGGTGTACAGGTCGATTCTTTCAACCAATACCACTGTCCATTCTCCAGGTGTATACGTATAGGTCGCCTTCTTGGAGACACCTGAAACAAAGCATCTCTTATAATTGGTGATTTCACAGCAAATGGCACAATCCCCCAAGTTTGGTGGTTTATATTCTGGACATTTCTGAACCCCCATGATAGAAGTCATCAAAAGGCGTCAATGGTCATACACAAAAACATCTGAAGCCACTGCAATAGCGCAGCGCTCCACCCGTCCACCGTCTTCCACCGCGCCGGCCTCGCTTCCGTCCGAGTCGCTGTCCTCGTTGGTCGAGAGTCGCTCACCTGCGAGCCGGGGTTGGTGCAGGTTCCGCGGGTTCCACAGGCTCTGTGAGGCGAAAAGCGAAGAGCATGGGACACATCGGTCTGAAGAAAGTCTACCCGCCACAGAACTGTTTATTTGGGGGGTAGACAAGTTTGGTGTTCTTTTTTTTGAGGCCTTTTGGGGTTGGGAGAACTCATGCCCTTTTGGTTCTCCCACGGTGCAAGAGTTCTTTTTGAAAAAACACAGTGAACGCGGTCGATCACTCGTGCAAATAGCGTTGCAACTACCTCCCACCGAAGAAATCCAACAAGGTGCACCTTGGAAGGTCATCGCCTATGCCTTCGTCGCAACGAACGACGAACTCAAAGGTGCAATCTGCACGGTCGCCGTATTGGGTGCTGACGGTATGGATCACCATACGCTCTTATTAAGTAGTTCAACTGCCCTTGAGGAGGGCCCCTCTTGCACCATCGCTTGGCTTCTTCACTCCGGCTTCCAGTCGCCCCTCGTGACCACGAGACCGGCTTCACACAGTTCCTTTTTTTTTCCGGATGCCAATCCGGCTGATTTCGCCTGGTAGAAAACCAGACGTCCACTTTTCGTGGGCAACTTGCACGATCCTCCTCATATGATCCTTTGGAGTCCCTACTCGCGCTAGCGCCCCATATATGCATATGTTCCAAGCAGTGCAAACAACCACGAAAAAAAGGGTCATGTGACCAGCAGTGCATCATCCAAATGATGCAAGATGTTCAGGTAATTTGGACATGTTTATTATATATTATATGTAGTTTTCAAATAGTTTTATAGCAAATCAGGAAGATGGACAATATAAGTAATATAAGACATGCTTTTGGTTTTATGATTTCTAGAGCTAGTTACAACATGTAGATGGTTTAATAGACGTCTATAGTATACTTACAGCTGCTAAGCCGTCTCATGCATCCAAGAAGTTCACCGCCCGATTTCGGCCGCTTCGCCGCCGACTTCACGCCTTCTCCAGATCCACTGAGGCCGGAGAGGACCTGCACGGTGAGTTCGAGACTGAACTGGTAGGCTACGACTGAAAAGCATCCGCCCCCCCCCGCGGGAGGGACCGCAAAGACTTCACATCCCAATGAAACGATTTTGATCGATCTATAGCAACATGATAGATCATGAGGGATTTTTTGCGGGCCCAGTGATGTTTGCAAATGACCGTTCCCACTTATTTCTGGGTGTGTCTTAAAGACTTAGGGCCGGGCAAACATGATACTATCATCCTGACGTGCTGGTTGATGAACATGTTCCGCGCGGTGGGCATCCCCAAAATAGAAATTGCATCAAGATCTTCTCAAGTCCAACCTTTTTGGTTGGATGTGCAAGGAAGAACTCCTGCCGTTCGCAAGAATGGCACACAAGACACCTGACAAAATGATCTATGTACCCAAACTTATCATAACAGCCGCAAGCATCTCTGCTGGTTGGACGGAGCATCAGAATTCCCTCTCCAAGTGCTTCTCTGTGGAAGGATCATACAGCTGGAGCATGCAGGAGCTGCTTGGGAACATGGTCAAAGGGCTCATGGGACAAGCCTTGCATCTGAAGAAGCATTATACAAATGAGATTCATGGGCTATCAAGGAGGCAACTGCAAATGACCTAGTTTGGAAGGGCACGATCGGCACGATGATTTCTTCTTGCGAAACAAGGATGTATGGACTTCCTTCGAAGGTACAGTAGCATTTGTGACTGGCTACCGCGTTTGCATGGGGTTCCACTTGATCTGCACTCCAGAACAGTCTATTGGTCCACCAATGTACTGGGACCTCAGCAGGGCATCTTGGAAAGGACCGTCCTTGAGATGTGACTACAGTGCAGCACTCCAGTACGGCCGCAGCGCTCCAATCCGGCCGCAGACTTCTGCTCGTACGGCTCGGACGTGATCTACACTCAGATTGAGATCCCAGTGGATCTCAACCAGACTACAGTGCTCAGCTTGGTCTTCTCCAAGGCACCGTACTTGATGAACCGGAGCCACGACAGCTTCTTATAATGTCCAGTCCTCTTCAATCCTGCACACATGACATCTAAGCGGAGTGTATTGTGGTGCCATTTCCGTCAGCATTTTGCCGTGCTGATGCCCTGGATTTGCCAGGACCCCTGGAGTTTGTGCGGCTCTGCCTGATGGAGACTTTTGGCAACATGAGATCGTCCATGCCCGCCGGGAGGACTGCGGGCCATTGCAACACTTGTATCAACTGGGGAGGTTCTCCCATGGGGCCAAACATGGTGCTCAAACAGCGACTGAATGTGCACCCAATCCACTTCTTCAGGTTTCCCCGTATTAAGATAAAGGACGATAAACACCTTGCCACGCTCTATTCCAGTGGACGATAATAGCCAATAAACACGTGACCCCCTCCACTCCAGGCTGCATGTGAAGGGATAAAAAACACCACTTGGTTTTGAATGCGCACCGATTCGTGTCTCCGGAGCACATCAATCATTCGAACCTGGAAGGGCAACCTGAGATTGCAGAAGTATCTGTCCCCACAGGAAAAGCCACCTTCCTTTAATTGTTAGTTCATTAATAGAACAGGACGAGCCTCAAATCTTGGACCAGCCGGCTATGGCGGGGGGTCTATATTATGTGTCAGGAGCCAACAAATCAGCTTGGACTAGCCTTCAAGCCGCGAGGGTGTTGTAGGGCCTAGGGATCCAGTCGTACCTTCTCAGAAGGTGATTGGAGACACTGTTATGTAGGTTTGGAGGGTCCAGTCGTACCTTCTGAAGGTACGACTGGATGCCTAGGGTACGTAGCCTTCTGAAGGCATTGAACGAAAACCAAAGCCCACACATCCAGTGCTCCCAGGAACTTCGCATCCAGCCTCACAAATCTCGTTGTCCCCCTGTGAGGGCGGGGATCGGGTCGAGTACTCAAAGGTCCAGATATGTGGGGAAAAACCTGACAAATGACGAACAGTGTTAAACTTGCTTACCGTATGTTTGGGGTGTGGCTAGTATGGCCCTCTTCTTCCAAAGGTGTCTTTCGAGTGAAATTGAAACGGTTCTTCGATCGCAAGCCCCTTCCGAACCGCATCTGTCACCTTCGACCAAGCTGATGCTTTGTTTACAGTATTTTCGCTCCCTACCTCTGGACTCTGCACCTATCGCTCGCTAAGAAGTCCGACCAGCAGACCGGCGGATCCCACAGCTCTGCGGATCCCGTCGGGAACACCCATCGTGGCAGTCGGACGACTGAGGACGAGTGACGACTGGACCGTGGCCCAAACCCGCCCGACCTAGGACATGTATCTAATCTATCTACCTGTGTTTTGGATGTGTTTTTGTTGGCGGCTTGCGGCTGGCAGTTCAGCATGTCTAGTTTGGGCTCGAGCGCTTGAACACTGGTTTTCCCAAAGAGCTCATCATCTTCAACGTCCCCATTTTCCCAGCTTCCATCCACTCAAATCGACCTCCTCGCCCAAAGACTGTCCAAAGCTTTCCTTGGAGAGGCTGAACCTAGCTGCTCGAGCGGTGGTGATCCATCCAAGAGGGCGCTTCGTTGACCACAAGCTTGGGATGAGACCTGTATCTTTCGGACCCTCGTGTTGGCATTACTTGGGTCTATCAAGCAGCTTATTTAGGAAGCACATGGAAATAACGTCAAACACACCAATTGGACAAGCGTACACTCCCTGCTTCTGTGATGCAGGACCTTGCAACCAGTGGGTTCTCAGTCATTGAATGGAAAACATATGATAAGTTCATTATCATTTTCTTGCCCTACCACAGCTTCGGGAAGGACTTCCAGGTTCTTGGGCCTCTGGCACAACATCCCACAGGCCCCCCTTCATGTTTACACACATTTACACAATGCGTGGTTTGCAAGCAAAGGAAGAGTACTTGGAACTCGTTGCGTTACGTTGTGTCCTGCGCACCTCCTGTTGGGCGAACATCCAGACCCAGACATTAGCCAGTACGCTACATCCACTTCAGTGGCTAGTCAAAGAAACTGCCACCCACAAACATCCCATGCTTTCAGAGATCTTCAGAGAACAAGAAAACCACTGGGCCCTCCCGACCCACGCTTGAAGAGTTTCTTCCTCATGCATGTGGTCGCTGTGGGCCGCATCGCCTCACAAACGCCACGTGCCCCCCAGGACGAAAAGAAAGCGGGTCCCTTGGGCGGACTTCAGTTGGGTGTCGAGTTCTGGAAGAAGGTTTCTCGGGTTCTGCCACTGTGGAGTAGTGTTTCTCAGGCAGGCTTTCTCTGGACCAAGCAAGTGCCAAGTGATCTATAACAGAGAAGTCGATGCCCCTCCAGAATGCATCCTTGTTTAAAACGGTGGGGTGGCACGGTGGCATTGTGTTCAGTTTTCACACAGCCACTGCACAATGATGAAACAATATTTGCTTTATGATATACCATCAGGAGGCCGATTTCTCAGCAACATGCAGGTTACAAACTGAAAACAGGTTGGTTCTTGGTATCCCAAGAAGCAAAACACATCCACAAAAAACATCCGTGGTTTCCACTTGGTGATGTTGATGCTTTCTTTTGGTCGACTACGTCAGGTTGCCATCACATAGACTCAAACAATCCCCAGCGCTGGCAAACCAAATCAATTTGCTGCACAATTGTCCTCAGGGTGACCAACTTCCCTGTCTGCGCGCTCATCAGTGTGATTTCCACCCAGGGGAGTCCAGCTTGTAAAAAAAACACACCACCTATGATTCCACTTGGTTTCCCAGCTGGATTGATGTGCAAAAGCTTCTTCAGCAGTGACTTCAACCTCGGGCTGATGTTGCGCTGGAAATGTGGCGTGGTGTTTCAGACTTTTCCAAAGACTTCTCTCAAGTCGAATCGATGGTTTTTGTTGCGTGGTTTCGTTTTCCAACCTCTCTGTTGTGCATGGACGGCACGGAATAAAGAAGAAAAGGCAGGGAACTATCTCCCTGGTTACAAGTCCAGTCTGACCCAGTAAAGCCTGGTCTTTTCCGTCCTCTACTACTACGTAGTGTTTTGGCATGACCAACTCCAGTGAAGTGAGTTGAGATCTTTGTCCTGTAGGGCCTGAATTTTTGCTTGAAACAGGTACACTCCCTGGAACTAACATGGAAGTGGAGAATGGGCCCCTTGGAAAGCCATGAAATCCGCTAAAACCAGGTGGTTTTCCACTTCCATGTTATTTCCAGGGAAAGTATTCTTTCTCCAAGTCTGAGCCTTCTGGCTCATTCCCGACGGCAGGCGCAATCTCCTTCTGCACCTGGCTGCTGATTTGGGCAACTCATGTGGGGTTGTAAAGAACCCTAGGAAAGTTGCCACTGCCAAAGCCGCGTTATGGTTTTTTTCCTATTATCGCTTTTCATGGGTTTGGGATATATAGTATATGGAAAATTTAATCGTTTTTTTTTCAAGGGTTTGGGGCATGTAGGGTCAATCGAAGGTAGTCCTGCCCAGGCCCTTCCCAAGCTGCAAGCAGCTGCAGCACATTTTCACTCGACTCCACTCACTGCCCAGGAACAAAACGGCACAGTGATGCGAGCTACGACTGTGACCAGAGCTTGAGATGAACACAGTGTCCTCAAGCATGTTTCAAAAACATCTGCCATCATGTTGTGACAGATTCGTTTTAACATGCAAGAAAAAACTTGGAAAGCAACTGAGACAAAATCTGTGATCATCAACAAGCCACGCAAGAACTCACCATGAAGCCATGCCGCTCACGAGGAGGCTGCATACTGGCAACGCAACCCTTTATTTGGCAGAACTTCGGGCACAAGGCAGCCATGAGCAAGTGAAGGAGAAACACAGAGGACCTTCTTTGAATGCTGTCATGCCAGCGGAGGGATGCACAGAGAAATGCAAGACATCTCAGAAAAGGTGCAATGTCATTAATCGATATTATATAATCGCTATTTTTTCCAATTACCGTTTTGTGGTGCTTTTGGTCACCTCGGATACTTTAGGTCCAGCCCTTACTAAATTGCAAGCAGGGGGGCTGTTACAAATCCCCATGTGCTCCAAGCCATGATTATCCCAAGCTGTGTTTAGTTGGTCAGACTTTGGAGGACTGAACGTACTGCTATGAGGTACATCTTTCTGTGCAAACAATAATATTGTTGAACGCAGGCGATACGTTGGATCATGCTGTAATTGGTAGAGGTGCTGCAGTCCCCCAAGAGACTGCCTGGAAAAAACAAAAACAAGACTACTCTTTCTCACTGTGATGTCACTTGGTTCCGTCTGTTGCTCCGAGCTTTCTGGAGTCTGTGACTGCTCTTCTTGTTCAATAGTGCTGTCCCCCGGTTTCCACCCGATTGCTTGACTGCATTCGGGCCTTTGGGGTATAGGAACTCTTCCTGTTGGCCCAGGTAGTCTTCGTTTGCCCTGGTTGGCACTGGTCACCGGTGCGGTCTTACTTTTCCTTTCCCAATACAAAGCATGGGCAGCTTGCCGCATCTTGCCGCATGGAATTTCTCACCCAAGAAAGGCCTCCATTTTGTTCAGGAGTCTCAAACACCTTGCCTGGAATCCGTTGACTACAATCATGCACTTTTGATGGAAGCTCCCAGTTTCCATGCACAAGCACACCTTCTGCCCCCACGAAACAAACCCCCGCACCAGCTTCTGAACGCTGTGGGAGTCTGCCATGACCTCAGCGGGCGGTGCAGTTTGGGTTTCCATTCGAAAGTCTTCTGAAGGCGATTTATGGAAAGCTTCCTTGTTCTCATGGATGGTGGCTAGTAATCCCTAGGGCTCCTGGCCCACCTCCGTTTCGGTTCGGTGGGCCAGGGGTGGGTTTGGGGGGGTCCAACCTTCTGGGCATATGGCTGGAGCCCTAGGGAATATTCCAGGATCAAACTGGTTGGAGAGGCTCTTGTTGTGGCCGACCACACATATGCATATTTCTTTGCATATGCTCTGGCAAGCCTGCGTCGTCTGCTGCAGTGGCTTGCCACTGCTGCATAGACTTGCCATGACTTGCCCATATGGTGAAACTGCAACGGACCATGCACGAGCTCTCGAGGGAGTCATGAAAGATGCTTTTGAAGGTCCAATATCCAACCCTAGGGATCCACATACCTTCTCAGATGGTACTTGGAGCCTCCAAGCCTGCATAAAGAGTATCCAATCACCTTCTCAGAAGATATGTGGATCCATAGGGCAAGTTGTCACTGGTTGCCTGGGCCCTCAGAGGAACTTTGACGAGAGGAACAGGGTGACCCAAGGGCCGGATTGACTAGATCTAGGTGGGTTTGCACGGCTATATTTCATGGGTGTGGCACTGCTGCGAACCCACCGAAAGGAACAACATTGACTCCATTTTTTTACTGATCTCGAAGTTGTGCCCACGTACCCTGCCAACTCTCAGCACAAACCCGGTTTGTTATGGAGAACCGGGGCCAACTTGTGAAATATATGGAATCCACTATGGAATCCATAATGAATTCACGTGTTAATATATAATTCCAAAGTCCAGTGGTAGAAGATGGTAGGAGTATGGTATGTGTTTTTCCACCGCCAAACCTCCCCAAGTTTCTCAATGGCTCAGCCCGTTCTCTGCTTTTCCCAATGCTCACGAGCCACAAGGGCTCCCAGGATGCCATCGAGCTCCCACATAAACTGCCCAGTGCAAAGCCTTGGCTCAACAGTGCGGAGCCTTGGCAAGCGAATTTGCGATGGGAGGGGGAGACAAACCAATGAATGCCATCGAACGAAGGAATCACGGGTCCCATGTGCCTGGGCCGTCGTTTTTGTTCGAGAAACAACGAGCAAAGCCGACGCACGGTGCCGTGTGCCGGACGCGCTAGCACTCGACAGGTCGACCAGGTGGCTCGTAGAGGATGCACCCCAAAGACCACATGTCCGCGGGCTTCCCATACCTCCGGCACTGGATGAAACGCCTTTTCTCTTGTGGACTGCTGGTGTGGGTGCTGGCAAGAGCAGTCGACCATAAATTTCCACATTCCTTTTGGCTATGCAGTTATGCAGCTAGTTGATGCTAGTTGTGCAGTCAGTGCCATCTGGGTTGTCTTTGGGCTTCAAATCTGACCTTACCACCTCCCCGCCGCGATGGAGGCCCCATGTTTTTTTTAGCTTCCATGTGGACCGAACACGATCCGTTGATTTCCGTTGTAACGCCCCCAAACAGCGCTGACAGCGCAGTCTTCGCCTCGAGGAAGACAACATCTCAGGTGCCATGTAGCAATCCGTTCCTCTCCGCGAGCGGGCCATGCGGCGCCGTGTCTGCCGTGGGGAAGGCAACCGAACACGTGAGGGTTAGGCGCGAGGGTCTTCGCGGATGTCAAGCGAGGGATGTCTACGGAATACAAACTCTGTCAACCTGCACTTGGCCAAGAAAAGTAATACATGATTTACATATTTCACTGAGCAAGGGTTGAAAGCTGGGAACACTTCAAAAACCACCCACAAACATGTTAACATGTTATGTTGGGCTTCGTTGGATGGTCAAGCAATCTTCTGGTGACACTGAACATGTTCTGATCCCATCATGACGCATGGCCTATGGATCATCCTCGGACATGGACACGCACCCATGTTGAATGGTTTTGATTGATCCAACATGATCAACCCCCTCATATATATACAGTATACATATATATATATATTATGGAGATGTAATTAGGTCCCATGGTAAAAACACGACATCTTCAACATGACCTTTCATCCACCAGTGAACCCCCCAAGCTCGGAACTCGGTCCTGCGTGCGTCAGGGTGGACGTCCCGGTGCACCGGTGCGTGTGCCTCGGGACGTCCAAGTGACGCGTGTTGCTATAGCTTGGAGTGACGCGCAACGCGCCGACTGATCCATGGGTTTAACATGGTTTAACTATTATAATGTGAGTTCCATATCTAAGTTCTATTCGTTCTGGCAGACATTGAGACTTTGAATCACGCACATGAAAAATCATGAATGCAAACAACAATACACACGTCCTGCATGACCAACAGCTCCAATATAGAGCAGACCAGCACCTTGCTGCCTGTGTCTATTTTCTGCCATTCACTGGCAGATTGGACAGCCATGCACTTGGGAGCAGCATTGTCTCCTGTAAAACCACGTTTCACCGTTTCGCGTTGATTTGATAGAACATCGGACAACCCCAAAAGCCAACTGGCAGTCAAATAGAAACTACTTCCCTAAAAACAACATCATGGATGCAACGATGCCATCCCTCCTGGATGGATGCCCCCCTCCGCTCACCTTACCTCCTTTCTTTTCAGTCACATCCGTCGGTCACGAGGAGTTCGTCCGGCTTCGGCACCGGCCGAGCGCAGGTGGCGGTCTGCGTCCGGTCTGCGTCGGGCGTCCGCACCGGCAGAGCCCAAAGTCCCCCAGGCGCACGTGGCCCTCCTCGGAGAGGAACACGTTCTGCGACCTGACGCGGAGCAGTCATGGTGGGTGGAGCAAGCGCATGAAAGTGAACCAGGAAAGTGAACCTGAACATGGCCCAAATGATGAGATTGTATACCTTAAGATACCTTAAGTACTATACAAGTATTATAAGTATAGAAGGCCTACAATCTCATCATTGGGGCATGTATAGAAGGCTGACCATGAGATCAGTCAGGATTGTATACTTATGATGTACTAAAAGTAATAAAGTATTATATAATCCTGACTGATGCAACGCTGGAAATCAAAATGAACCAAGGCCGCCAGCTGTCTCAATGGCTCTAAATCATGATCGACCCAATCAGTGCAAGTTCCACGGGCCAGTCACATCACACCAATCAGAATCGTCTTTGTCCATGAGATTCTATGAGCAAAGAACAGCATCTCAAGTCTGAAGTTGGGCTTTAGTCTGAACAGCACTGAAGGTTGGAAGACAGAAACTGTAAAACATTGTGTGCAATCACGTGTGTCAAGGTTTCTGGAGACGAGAAAGCCACAAGCATGAACGTGGCAACATGGCAAAAAAAAAGGTTTTGCTTCTTGGCCTCAACTTCGGTTCACGCATTTTGTTGACCAAATTTCTGGTGGAGGCACGTCATTTAACACAGAACGACGTGCCATTATAAGGCAACAGGCAGACATCAGACGCTCTGATGGCAGCATCAAAGGCTCTGAGGAGTCTCATGCTCTTTCGGAACTCGCCACCGGAACTCGATCGAACCTCTTTGAGGACCTTCAGTACGTGACCGAACTTGAGATCCCAGTGGCTGAGGTCACTTATATCGTCCCGGAAGAGGTCACTTACAAACTCCAAAGAGCTCCTGGAATTTCCTTCCTGTTCACTTTCAATTCTGGAGAAGGTACTGATCTTGTGTCGCTTTCTCAGCCTGCTTTGTCAAACAGGACGTCAAATTAGGACTAGCAGTCACGTCCAGTTCCTCGGTTCTCCGCCAAGTCACTTCAAGTCCCTGTGGATCACGTTTTTGCTGTGCAGGTACTGGACAGCCTGCAGAAAGCCGCCGGCAGCACCACTTTGATGGGTACCGTTCTCCAGAAGATCGAGGCACAGAAAACCCTTTTGCAGTCTCAGAGGTGTCAACACACCTGCTAAAATAATGGTGACACATTGGGATTCATCCGGTATCGTTGGAGAAACCGCCAACCAGGCCTCAAAAAAAACCAGCAGCTTTACTAATCTTCAGGACTGGACAACTGACAACTCGAACCGGCTTGAAGCGGATGCATCGCTGCATTCCGCATGGTTTCACACGGAAGTTCAGCTTCTTGGTAAATCGTCCACGGTGGAGGTCCACATTGCCATCCGTCCTGCCTGAAGCAGCTGAGCGAAGATGGTCCGCACCCAGTCCTGACATCAGCGAGCGCGAGCTGCGAAGCATTGCACATCGGAGGTCAAACGGGAAAAACAAATTAGGATTACAGGGTCTACTGGTGTACCAACATTGGTCCTTGTTTTTCACATTGGGTGTTTAAAGAAGAACCTCCTCCAAATTCAAACTGCTCAATAGGCTTTGAGCGACCCCTCCTGGCACCTCCGTGGAATGTTCCACGGGCATCGGTCGACCCCGCAGTGCCGCGACTCGAAGCGGACGCAGAACGGGCGGACCGGGGGGGGGTGGGTCGGTGAAGGCCGGGGGGTGGGTCGGGCCACGCGGCCATGCCTCGGTGAAGTTCAAGAAATCTTGTTCGATCTTCTCCTGGTGAATCAGAGGGCCTCGAGTTCTTTTTTTTTGCGGTGTAGACTGTGGTTTTGAGCGTTGGTGGTGTTGCAATACAACCCGGTTTTTCAATGCCCAAAGTTGCAAGAATCAGATTGGACACCGTGGAACATTGGTCCCCTCCATGTTCACATTCATATGTGTAAAAATGTTAACTGACTCGCCATGCGATCAATTGCCTCATGGCTCATGGTGACATCGTTCTTTAAATATATGATACATGTGGACCAACCATCACAATCAGGTTCGCAATGATCCTCCTTCTTTGAAAGACACATTAAAAAAAGAAAGCCCAACGGTCTCCCACATCTCCGCAAGATGCCTCGAACAGCGTTGAAAGCGTCGTTTTCAGTTGAGATGGAACCTTTCAGACTCGAACATCAACATACCTCGAACCCACGTGAGGGCAGCTCTGCGAAACCCATCGGACGATAAGACTAGGGACTGTGAACATGTTCAACTGAGTTGGATAATTTGCAATGGAGAAGCTGTTGGCTCAAAAAACCGGGAGCAATGGAACCCTGCTCGTCAAAGTTCAACCTCCAATAGGCAGGGTGATGATCCCTATCTATCCGTCAGAGATCAAGTTGTTCTGCACACAGAAACGGACCTCATTCTGGGAAGTGGGAAGCAGGGAAGCATCCAGGGCCACCTGCCAAAAAAACATGCAACACCTCGATTCGCACAGGGCGACTGACTGGCCCCCCTTTGAGGCCACACGGCCAGATCCCGCCTTTAGATCGCCTTCAGGGCAGAACTCCATGATGATGATGAAGTACCTCACAGCTTGGGTGAACATATATTGACAAATCACAGCTACGGTGAAGATTGCTCTGCTGGACCAATGTGTTTGTTGTTGGATTAAACAAATAGTAGGTATTGGTAGGTGTCCTTAGTGTATGAAAGGAGGTGAAGGTCCCATAGAATGAACAGTTCATCGTCTTCAACGCATTGATTGGACCTCGGGACCTCTATCAACGCTCTCGGCATATGAAGGCGCGTGCTGAGTGGCATGTGGAGTCCCTAGCACTTGGGCTACCGCTTGGTGCAAGTGTAGCTCACGGAAGTTAAAACGGAAGTACACAAGTTGAGGATTCAGCTTCAAACATAAACCCATTTGTGTTCATTTGTCCGATTTGTTCACCTTCAACCATAAACCCTTTATGTCCGATTTGTTCATTGGTGAAAGGTTAGATGTCAGTGGATGTCAACACAAACACACACACGCACACACCTCAGGTGTTCTATATATGGGAAAAAAAACTAAAACATTTTGTGGGGAAGGGCCACACATCAAAAACCAACGTGAAAATCAGCCACCCTCAACACCTGGCACATTTGCACAGTTCCACAAACGGTAAGAAAAACGGAACACCTGGACTTGGACCAAACGTTTGCTTTACCCACGGTTTTCTCGGATCAATCAGTCAATCAGTCAACCTGAGAATTGCATCAAGGTGGCACCACTGGAACCAGTGTACTTGGAGACAACCCAAGAAAACACTTGGCCACACTCTCTCAGCACTTTTCTCTCGCTGTCCAAGGTCTTTACGCTGTTTCCGCGTCTTTCGCTTGCAACTCGCGAAAGAGCTGAGTTTGTGCATCGGAGAGTTTGGGTGAATTTATATACGCGTGTTGACATTGGCATTCTCTGCACACATCGGTAACTATACGTATATAAAAAATGTATGTATATATCTAATAACTATTATACAAATATGTGTTATATATATTATGCAACATGTGCATTTCATATTGAGAATCTTCCACATGTCCAAACGATCCGTCAATCTGTAGTAATAGGTATTTCACCAAGCTAGCAATACACAGTAAGCATCGAAATACAACTTCGGTATACAAACACTGGCTGCAAAAAACTCTATACCTTTCAAAGCAAAGTAGCCCTTACACTCCCTAATACAGTGATGAAATCTAAGACTTAGCAAGTATCGGACCCCCCAATGCAATTTGAAGCAACTTCAGGTTGCTAAGCAGGGCACCGAAGCACTCTTCAGCAGCAGGCGCGAGCAAAGGCCAAAAGTGTGGCTCTGAGACAAAGCAGTGGCCAAAGTCCATCTGGAAAAACCTAAGTCATCTGCATCGGTCTTTGGGTCTGGACCTGGGTCCTTTGTCGAAAAAGATCGACTTTCCCAGGGGACTTGAGATCGAATGAGGCCGACCTCAAAGCTCTTGAAGAGGTCTCTTACAACTCCTGGAGGATTCCGGGACATGTATTTTTCTATGTCTCCGAGTCTCAAGTCTGGTTGAGATCGTGACATGACACGGCACCTCAAACAAAGAACAAGTGGTGTTCGGTCAACCCGTGTGATTCCGATAAAAATTGTTCCATCTGCCTGCCGAGTAGTCGTCGACATACACCCTTTTAAACAGGGTTCAGGTCCGCAATCTGTCCACACATATATGTATACTTATATAGTCTGCTTACTCAGCCAAGACTCTGGAAAGGGGTGGGCCAGGGGCCATTACCAGTGCACATGCTTGATCTCTCCACCCATACAGGCTTTGTTCCATTGAATCACATCAAGAGCGTGGGGAATTTAGTGAATGTCAACCTATTAATGGCTTGGTGAGGATCGCGAACTCTCACAGTGGATCACATTGAGACTCTCTTTGGCCGCCTGAATTCGGCTACCTAAGCTGCCAAAGTTCAATAGCTGAAAGTCGTGTTCACATGGGGGCCCGCTGCATATTCTTTACTTTTGGCACACACAGCTGGTCAATGAAGGACACATTGACCAAACAAGTCTTGGCGCCAAATTGCAAGAGGCATCACTAGCGCTGCACCGTTTTCAGCTGATCTCCGAGCTTCAAGCCATGCTTGAAACAAAAGACATGTTGCAAGTCAGCCTCGGAAGGGTCCACGCTGGAATCTGGCAATGTTTGCTCGCGCGGATCTAGCGCAGTGCTAGCGCGCGGCTAGCGCATTTTTTAGCCAGCCACTTTTCAAAAACCTGACGACGTTCTGAACATGTCCTAAGGCAAACACTAGCGTCACTAGGGCAAGTCTACCGCAAACCTAGCGCCCAGCTGCAGAATAGGTGTGTTTAGCTGGGGGCCCGCTACATACTCTAATTGAAAAGCAACATCATAAGCTACTTTCGACCCCTTTATCTATTTCTTTTATTATAGACTTTTGGCCGGCTCCATATATAGAATGAGCTTAGCGTAACATGCCAATAACATCCATGATACAAGTAGGTCAAACGCAACGTCAACAGTAACACTATATTGGACATGTTAAAGCAAAAACATATTCCTATTCAAGCACTTTGAAAGGGGTAGCATGGTACGAAGGTGACTGGATACTTGAATTCATGCTTTCAGCCTCTCTTTGCCTCAAACGCCGACCGGTCAAAACGCTGCACTTCTCACTCTCAGGAGATCTCGCGCCTTACGCACAAAGGCATCACGTGTGTGTAAAATGGTGTGACTTGGGTCGCCAGTGACAATGCAACCGGTAATGAAACTGAGCTGCAATCATCCAAAACTCCAGTCGATGTTGTTGACAATGATGATGTCACTGGATGATGATGATGATGATGATGATGATGATGATGATGATGATGATG